GAGAAGGGACCACTATGATCAGCTAGTCTGTCCTCCTGCATAACATAGATCCTGGAATTTCACCCAGTAATTCCTGCATCAAGCTGGTAACTTCTGCCAGAATAGAGCACCTGGTCTAAAGAAAAACAATCTTGATCTAAAAGAGTTCAGGTGATGGAAAATCCACCACATCCTTTGTTAAGTTGTTCCAATGGTTAATTACCCTGCACCACATTTCAAGTTGGAGCTTGTCTAGCTTCAGCTTCCAGCCATGGAACGATAGGTCTTTGTAGGTTAAAGGCTTCTCTAGTTCTCATGCACTTGTATGCTCTTGTAAGCGGTTTGGGTTTCCACCACTACAAGGGATATCATTTACATTAAAAAACCCTTTTCATTGACACACAAGTAAGAGTCACAAAAATATTTCCCTTCTTACCAGGTTTTATAAAAACCTCCTGTTTGTAATGCAAAATCCAAATGGAGGGGCTTAATTTTAGTTGCTTGAGTTTATTTAAACCCAGATATTATAGGCTCTTAGGTTGCTGGTGGCCCAGCCCGGAATTCAACAGCAAAGATTAGGGGTGGGATTTTCCAAAAGCGCCAGTGTTGCTATAGCTTACGTTCCCATAGGAGTTTCCATCATTGACTTCAGTGACCAGGAATAGCCTCCAATAATCATCATTTGCATAGGGGCAAACTACTAACATTTTCAAAAAAGAATAAAGCATTTAAGTTTTTAATTTGTAATACAGCATAACCATTCACTGGTTACAATTAACAGAAATTAAATCAGGCTGGGGAATAAATACTGTTTGTAATGCTCCAGTGTTCTGTTTCAGAACATGTTCTGTTCTGTTCCTGATTTCAGGAGGCAGCTGAAAATTCAGAAGTGTTTTAACATCAGTAAGTTCTTAAGGACAATATAAGAACCCTGGTTTATTCCACAGGCGATTCCTTTAAGGGGAAGACTTTTAGTATATTAAGGGTGAATTTATCAAAGTTAATCATACTTTGCAGATATATAGTGTTAGCATTTGATATTTTTCAAAGCTCTGCACACACCTTAACTCGTTAACCATCACTCAGGCACAGCTCCCAGTGAGCCAGGCTCTGATTCAGCAAGATATATGGGTCTGGTTTCAATGTTCAAGAAGCCCAGGGCACCCCTGAAATAATGGATTCAAGGCTTTCAGTGGTATTGCCTAGAACCCAGATAGACGGTTGGCTGAGTAAGTGCCCAAGCACCCAACCCTGCTCCCACTTTCAATGGGGCTAACTTTTAAAATAAATAAGTAAGTAGATAAAGCGGATTTGGTGACAGTCATTTTATAAATTAGTATCTACTGCAAATTATTTCGGTTAAAAAAACCAGAGAAAATCAAAATGGTTTGATTCCAAGTGACTTTTCATTTCAAGTTTTCCTTTAATTTACAAAAAAATTCAAAACAAAATTTCTTTTTCTTTTTACTTTCTTACTTACTGAAAAAGTTTTGACAAATTGCATTTTTGGTTTGACCCGAAACAAAGGTTTTTTGATTTTTCGGAATTTGCAATAAACCAAAAGGTTATCCTCTCAGCATTCCTCCCAACGAGAGTGATAGCCCCAGCTTGAGTGGGAGCAGGAGCACAGGTCCTTATTTTGATGTGTTCCGGTTTGTTATGGAAGAGGAGACACTGCTCCAGATACTGTTTTGTGTCAGTGTCTCCATTCAGTTTTTCTGTTCTGTTCCCCATTTTCATCTTAAATTACTTATGAGCCTGGGAATTGTTCACAAGCATTAGAGGGGCCAATTTATTAAAACAACATGCGTAAGAAATGTATGCCAATACTGCTGTATAATACCATTTCAATACTGTACTTCTCTAATATTCACCTGACTCCAAAAGGGGCAGGGTTAGGGGGGAACCGGCTGTCTTCAAATATGCAACACATGCTTATAAAAAGATATCCGTAAATACAAATCTGGATTGTCTTCTTGGAGATGCCAGAATATATATATAATAGGTATACATTGGAAACCATACCTCCCACCTGGGAATAGGGTTAAGACTGCTAGCGAATTGCATTACAAGTACTTAACCCAATTAAGTTGCAGTGAGAAATTCCAGTGGGTACATGAATTAAGGCAACAATATATGGGTTGCTTTTATTAGGACCAAACTCTAGGTCAAGTGACTTTTGCTGAGAGACCCCAGAGAAGTGAAACGCAGATATAAAACAGTGATGAAAATATACCTAGGACAGAATGAAGTTGGAGCAAGTTCTGTCTTTGCTACTGACTCATTTAATCTCGTTGGGACTCAGGTTTCCTGCCTCTCTATCAGGGATACTGTGAACACAACCAAGACACCTTCCATATTGACAGAGCCTCAGATGAAGAGCCCTGTAGAAATGCAAAACACTATGCACCAGAGTTATTTCTGTGTGGGACTGTTTGAAGCTGGAGGAAAACATTGAGCAAGATGGCTAAGAGCAAACATGTCCCAATGTGCAGCTGTCTAAGTACTTACGTGGCTTTGGTGATAGATACACAGAGCAAATGTGTCCTGACTTCTATCCAGCCTATGTACTATATACCATAACAGCGTCTATCTGAGATCTTAACTCCACACCACTCCACTCCACCCCACCACAAAAAAATTTCCTTGGGAATTTGGGAAAAACAGGTGCATCTTGCAGCACATAAAGGTGCCCAAACCCATGCTCTAGGCCACCAAGGTTGGAAGTGATATCTGAACTTTTAAGATGGCCATCTGACTTCAGAACAACAGGAAATTCCCATAAAAATAACATCCAAACATTTGCATTTTCACCACAGAGTGGCCACTCTATCCATAAAGAAACCAAAGGAGAGATTGTGTCTGGCAGTAATGAAATACACTCATTAAAAAGATGTGGTGAATTTTGCACTAGTGAAAATGCTAGACTGACAGCCCTAGAGATTGAAGTCCTCTGTTCACTACAGAACAGGTGCAGCCTAAGCAGCAGTGTTGCAAACTATCCCCTGCTCCCATCCCAACTGTAACCTGAAGGCATCTCTCGGGTGTAAACAGGTGGCTCGCTCTCCAAAGCATGATTATCCTTTTGCTTCCCCATAGAGCCTGCTAACAAAGGACCCAGTTCTGATAGTAGCAGCAATGGTCTTTCAGGATGTGAACAACCATCTGTCGGGAGCTAAGAGATCCACCAGCCAAATTCAATCGAGCCACCAAGCAGCTATTACACAGTAGTACTGTTTGCTCCCCCATGATCTGGCCTGGACTCAGTCCAGCAACTTTGAGTTCAGTAACTCTGGCTTGCTATCCTGCAACCAAGGCAATATTCAGGCTGTAAACCAAACAACACTGAACTAACATGCAGGTGGCGGTTGTTCAAGAGAATTTAAACAAGATTATCCTACATTGGTAGGATCTGACCCGGATGCCTCGCTGTTCATGAGAGAGATTAGACTGTGCCTCTGCATTCACCTGCTACTGCCACTGGAACGGAAACAGCCAAACTGTTTCATAGGCTCTTTACTTCTAACAACTGACAGATTCTTCTTTAGCGCAAGCAGTAGAGAGGCCTGTGGTTTAGAGTTGGGGGAAGGCAGGGAATAGCTAGGTTCTATCCCTGCTGACAGGCTGGAGATCAGAGTTGATGCATGTTGCAGCAAAGCGACAAGTGTAAAATCCTAAGCAGGCATGGATCAGTCGCGCTATTATATCGTGGTGCTAGATTTTACAAAGGGCTGGAGAGAGCTTTCTTAGCGGAGTTGTCAGGATGTAGGTCAGAATTCATTACCCTTGTAACCAAAATGAAACTATTAATATGCCAATTTCCACCCATAAATAGATATAGCAGAGACTGAATTTATAAAAAGGTGAGTGACTTACCAGATGTTGTGTGTGATGACTTTGGTAGGAAGTCCGTAGATCATCAGCTAAACAGTGATTCTCCTGAGGAGGCAAAAACAAAAAGAGGTGAAAAGAAGAAAAACACTCCCCCAAGCCAGAAGACAATTACAAAGATGCATTGTTTTAAAATCAAAGAGGAAACAGAATATGTTGGAACATGTCAGGAATGAAGCAAAGACAGACTGTCGGGGTGTTCAAGCTAGAGCATGTCCATCTCTTTCCAAGGCGAGTTGAATGAAAAATAATTTATAAGGATTACAGAATTATTACTGATGTGTCAGGAGAAAATCTCAGCAGCGTGTTGACAGATGTTTAACCATGGGGAAACCAGCTCCATTCCAGGTGGAGGTCACCAAGGACCAGGCTAATTTCCTGGGTGTTAGAAAGGAGGTGCTGGGAGACACCCCCAGGTCAGGACTCTAGGATGCAGCAAGACCTAGCCGGCTCGGTTTCCCTGCCTCACCAGGAACCTGCTGCCTTCCCCTGGCCTGTGCTGGTGATGGGCCATACTTCTCACTGCTTCCAATGCCCAGGTCTTTCCTTGGGCTGGAAGCCAGCTGAGGTGAAACGACACAGGAGTTCAGGGTGGAGGGGAACCAGCATGGAGCCCAGATTAGCTCCATCCAGGGACATGGGATGGGTGGACAAGAGAGAATGCAAGTCCGTTGTGCTCCTGTGGCGGGATGGGTTGCCCAGGTGATTGGCAGAGAACTCTGGAGGGAGTCTTGCTCTGGGGGATGGAAGAGGGCGGGAGCAGTATTTTAACACAGTTGAAGACTAGAGAATGAAATACAGGACATACTCTTCTCCAGAGCTCTAAGGGTTAAGAACCATTGGGAACAAACCAAGGAAGGAGACAGTGTGCAGTAAATCAGAGGGTCTCCCAGGAAGCGAGCTCTGATGCTCCTCTCCCCTCTCCCCAGCCAGAGCCAAGGACCAGCAAAGCCAAACAAACAAGTTTCTTAAACTTTTGCTTCAGCTTTGGCCTGTGTGGGCCTCCCTGCACCCTCCAAAGTAGCTTGCAGTTGCTGAGCTCCTTAAAACAAAAATTTGGCCTGGAGAGACAGCTACAGATCCCAGGACACAACACTCGGTATCGATGGAGTGGGGCAGTCGTATATTAGAAGTGGTTATCATCTGCTCGATTGTACACAAGTTAGGTGCAAGCTCTGGGGAAGTTGCCAACAAGGCCTGCAGCGGGGGCAACCTTATTTTGCTTGAACTAGAGAAACGGATTATTTAGAGACTGCATACATCGCACAGGAAGACAACGCAGGCTGAAATGGAGGCACAGAGATGTTAGCTGGGTGTTTCAGACTGGGCCTGCACTGGTAGCTAGTTGACAGTCATGAGCTGTCAGAGCAAACCAGGCCTGTGGTACTTGAAGATTTTCCCCACCTCTTTGTATAGATAAAGCTGGAACCAACCCTCCCGCTCCAAGCTCCCCAGAAATTCTGGGACAGTTTTGATCTGGGGCTTAGCGGCTACAGCTTCTCTCTACTTTTTTCCCCAACCTTGTTTTGGTCACTGTCTGTAATCAGGAGCCACTATCAAATCTGCTACACCACAAAGGATTCCAGTACAGAGGCAGGGCTGATATGGGAGGCAGTCTAGTTTAATGGATACTGCACCAAAACCTGGGCTCTATTCCTGGCCCCGGCACTGACCTGCTGCATGAAGGGCAAGTCACTTCCTCCCTCCCTGCCTCTGTTTCCCTTCCCACCCTTTATCGGTCTCGTTTAACTGTAAGTTCTTTGGGGCAGGGACCATCTCTCACTAATGTTTGTGCAGCACCTGGCCCAGCGGGGCCCTTAGTTAGGGCCCCTAGGAGCTAATGTAACATAAATCCTTTTTCACTGACTCTGATGTAAATTGTGAGTAGCTGGCATAAGATCAGAATCTAGCCCCGTAGCTGAATGCAGCTGTCTAACCGTGTATTTGCTAAGCTCATTAAAACACAGAACACAAACATCAGGCAACATCAGCCACGTCCCCAGACGTCTCAGAATTCAGAAAGCTCTGCCATAGGAAAGCCTCCAAAGCCCCCCGAGTTTAGGTTACAAGGTAAGCTTAAAACACATAACATTCACTGTGTGTGACTTGAAGGGCTGAGAAAATTTAAGGCAGATTATTTAAAATAAAAAGTGAAGCAGAAACAGATTAAAACTACTGCACCATGACCATTAATGCAGCGATGGAAAATATCAATCACGCCATTGCCTCTGAAGCTAGCTGTGAGAGAAGAATGAAGAGATTTTATGTTCCAAGTACCAGGAAACCACAGGGCCCTGGTGCCTAGTTCTGAAAAGAACACTGTTTGAATCACAAGGAGGCAAGCAGAGCCAAGGGGGGGGAGGAGGGGGGGCTTGAAAATAGCAGTTTTACGAGTTCAGAGATATTCAAGCATTTCAGAGAGTGGCTGAAGAAAGTAGTCCCAAAATTAGTTGACAGTAGTGTCACTGAATGCAGCACTATCAAGGGTTGACAGGCTGTTTTAGGGGATTGTAAAATCTATTGCTTCTAAGGCCTGGTCTACACTGGGGTGTGTGTGCGTGAGCTAAGTCGGTCTAAGTTACACAACTTCAGCCACGAAAATAGCGGAGCTGAGAGCGACATATTTAGAGCTACTTACCGTGGTGTCTTCACTGTGGTAGGTCAACTGCGGACGCTCCCCCGTCAACTCCGCCTACATTTCTCGCTCCGGTGGAGTACCAGAGTCGATGGGAGAGTGCTCGGCAGTCGATTTATCACGTCTTCACTAGATGCGATAAATCGACCCCCGCTGGATCGATCGCTCCGGAGGTAAGTGTAGACATGCCAACTCAAGTAGAGCCATTCATGAGATCTAGTCAGGGGCGGCTCCAGGCACCAGTACTCCAAGCGCGTGCGTGGGGCGGCAAGCCACGGGGGAGCGGCGTGCCAGTCGCCGGGAGGGCGGCAGTCAAGCCGCCTTTGACAGCATGCCTGCGGGAGGTCCGCCAGTCCCGTGCTTTCGGCGGCAATTCGATGGCGGGTACCAGCGGACCTCCCACAGGCGCGCTGTCGAAAGCCACCTGACTAACGTGCTGGGGGCGGCAAAATACATAGAGCCGCCCCGGATCTAGTGGCTGCTCTGTGGCCTAAGATAAATAAGTTTAGTGGCATCCATCCAGTTCCCACTTCCCAGTGTCCATGCGTTCAGAAACAGGAACAGATTGGAAACAAAGTCAGACACACCAGGGACTAAATGGATTATGAAGACGGAACTACCCATTGCCTTGAGTAAGGTCAAGGATGAGGCATAGGTGAAAGTCTAGACGTGTTTAGAAGTCAGCGTTAGAGAATGCAAAGTGCTTGTTGCCCATCTCAACATGGCATTAAGATGCACAAGGGCATTTTTAAAATCCTGTGCATGGATTTAGATCCACTGGGCATGTTCAAAGAGGCTACGACACACCATGTATGAGGAGTAATGCAGCTGTGGGGTCCTGTGTGCTGGGCATGTCAAATTAACATAGCAAGAGGAAGGAAATGAGTTTCTACATCCCGGAAAGTTTCCTAGCTGGTCAGACTTTTGTATCTGCAAAGCTATGCAGCAAGATCCTGCATGCTGCACCAGTGCTGGGACACAGTATGAAGGCCACAGAAGGCCACGCTTCAATAGGAAAGTGGATTTCCTCACTAAGGCATTCACAGTAAAAAAAAGTATTTAATAAAGGGGGAAAAGCATGTGAAAGAAGAACTGCCTGGCTGATGGTAAAGATAAGGCTGCCTGTATCTACAGCATCAGGGAAACTGGTCAAGAATGACTGTTCTGTACTCAGAGTATCTTCTCAACTAGCTTCAAGCCCAAATGAGAATAATCCACATAATAGATGTAGCAGGTGCAGCTAAAGGCATAAAAACATTTCTCTACTAGAGATTAGTAAGGGTATATACAAGCACAGCTGGTTTAGCTAGAGGGAAAAAAACCAGCCTCTGCAATAATGCCTTCTGTAATCCAGGGATTTCTGATTTTTAAAAAAAAGTCAGACCAGGTTTTTTAGAGAATAGCTTTGCTAATGGAGCATTAAGCAAATCATTGTAATTGTTACTAACATAAAATACGATTTGCTTAGGCAACCTGGTTGCCAGTTATGTTATGGCTCCCCTGGGAGCTAGGGCTGGTTGCCAGTGGTTCCCAGTTTGCACAGACACACTGAGAGCTAGCTATCATCGAGCTAGTGTGCTAAAAACACTGGGGTAGCCATGGTAGCACGGGCAGCGGTGAGCAGTACAGGCTAGTCGCCCCGAATATGCATCCCCAGGGTCCACCATGGCTACATTACTCATTAGTACACTAGCTTGAGACAGCGAGGTCAAATGTGTCTGTGCGAGCTGGGAACCACACCCCTAGCTTCAAGTATAGACATAGGGTGACCAGACAGCAAATGTGAAAAATCGGGACAGGGGGTGGGGGGTAATAGGAGCCTATATAAGAAAAAGATCCAAAAATTGGGACTGTCCTGATAAAATCGGGACATCTGGTCACCCTATATAGATGTAGCCATTGTGAAGTCTGCCACTCAGCTCCAGTCATCTTGACCAAAGTTTCTTTTTAGCTAGAGGGACATCAGGAACATTGTACTTAGTTGGTTATTATGGAGAATCATTGTCCTCTGGGTTTCAGTATCACCTAGGTGCCCAATGTGCTAGGTGCTGCACAAACACAGAACTAAAAGCCTGTTGCTGCCTGGAAGAGTTTACCTCCGAGGTAATTTGCTTCATGTCAGGCTGTCAGCTTTTGGGGTGGGGACTGTCTTTTTCTTCTGTTTGTACAGCACCTAGCACAGGGGGGCCCTGGCCCATGACGGCCATTCCTAGGTGTTCTGACAATACAGATATTTAATACAGAATATGAATAGATTTTGGCTAGAGAGACCTGCACCAAAAGCCTCAAACCAAGACAAACTTGTGCACTCTGGGGAAGGCTGGATCCAGAAGGGAACGTGGTGCCAGACCTTTATTTCTATAATGGACTTAGCCAGAAGCCCAGATCTACTCACCTCTGAGGGGGGGGGGGG